CATCACCAATTCATTCGATCACCATTAGTGATTCATTGTATTCAGTTCCAAAATCATCGATTCCAGAAACTCGTTCAATAACTTCGGCATATTCAACTAGAAGCACTTTACCTGAATTATTACCAGAAATTAAACCAACATCCCCGATGTGGGGTTCCAATAAGGATACAAATTTTTCATTTAGTAACTACGCGTCATCTCCTCCTGAACCACTATCACAACTCAATGTAGCAGTTTGGCAATCTATGGTAAAATCATCGACTGATGATGATGATGATCAACAAACCACACCGACTCAAAAAAATATTCCATCTTCAAAAACTTATGGATACTTATCTTCTATTGCTTCTATTGATAAAGATGATGATTTATTACCGCAAGCTGCTCCTATATCACCTTTAAAATTTGATATACCTGAACTTGGATTATTAGATCCTTTACCAAAAGTTCAACAATCATCAACGCATAAAGAACCTACATCAACTGCTCCATTGAAACGTGAATTACCTGATCCAATATCAAATACATATACTTCTCCAAATTTAATGTCTGATGGTGATAGAAGTAATTGGGGTTTTTGGAACGATTCTCCTCCAGAATCTCCTAATAAATTTAAGTTAGATTTGGATCGATTTAATTCATATTTAAATAAAAAAGATCCAGACGGTGACCATGGTGTTACAGGATTGAAAAAAGGAAAAGGAAGAAAGTACAGTACTTTTTTAGATAAGACAAACATTGACCAACCGGACGTTTATAAAGTTAAAGCTGGAACAAAGTTAGATAAACATAAATCTTTACCATTAACTCAAGAAGACATTATTTATAAGAAAGAAATTCATGAAACTCGTATGGAAAGTGATAAAATGGATCAAAGTGATGATTATATAAATTCAGAAGATAATAGTATTCCAATATTTCAAAGGAAACAAACACGTCCATCTAGAAAATCAATTCCAAATTTTTATCCTTCAAAATCAAAAAAATCCAAATTAACAGATGAACAACCTCATGGAATGACAATAAAACTTCGAAAATCGGGAAATTTTCAAACTTTTCCTTTATCAGATGGTTCAAAAATTGGAGCTAAACGACAAAAATGTAAACCAATACAAATTTTAAAATTTCCTTATAGTACTATTAGACCACAAAGAAATACTTTATCATCAGCTAGTGCACTCAAAAAAAATCCATTTCTTAAATCAATTAAAAGAAATTTTGGGGATCGTAATTTACCAGAATATACATTATCAAAAAGTAAAATGTCTTTTATGGTACCACATAATTTAGCATCAGTAGAATTTGGAAAACTTAATCATTCTGTACCTGATCTTACAGTACGTGTAAGGCATCAAAAATTTAGTGAAGCATTTCGAAAAATTAATATGACAGTACCAGATTTTACAAGATTTGATTCAATAATGAAAGATTTTGATGAAAAAAAGAAATCCGAATTTAATTTGCAAATAATGAATGATTTAGATTCTGATCCTTCAAAAATAACAAAATTTAGTATTAATCCATTTGATGAATCTGAATCAAATGAATTATTTAAATCTGGTTCTCCTTGGATACATTTACCACATTTAGATGAATTTATAAAAAGTTTACCACAATCGGATTTTTCAAATCCAAAAGATTTAATGACTCAAGAAGAATATGAAAAGTTTATGACATCAGGCAATAAATTAGGAAAATATGCAGATTCTTTATTCCCACCGTTGAATCAGATTCCAGATGATGTTTCTCTAGATGATCTTAAATCTAATATAACTAGTAAAGAGAAATCACCAATGCATAATGATTTAATATCTACTGCTATTGATGGCGTTCTTATTGCTGAAGCTTCAGCATTTGGAAATACATTTATGAAATTAGAAATTTTGAGAGATTTTATACAATTTTTGACACTTGCATTGGCTTTTGGAAGCGCAGGAACAGTTGATGGCTGGTTAAAAATTTTATTAAATACTTTACCAAACTTTTTAAGTTTAAATTTTGCTAATGTATTTGGAAATGGGATAACATTTTTATTGGTATTTTTTGTTATTGTAATTGGAGCTTTATATTGGTTTAGAATTATGACTAAATGGGATCCCAATGCCGACGCTGAGGTATGTATGAAATGTAATGAAATGAGATGAAATGGTTTATATTTTTACTTTTACAAAAAATTTAAGATTATCCTTTATATGACGTTTTATAGGGACTTGAAACATTTCCATGGAATTTACGTCCTCAAGAAAAACGTCATCATAATATAGTAGTAGTATTCATCTTAACAACCCTTTACCTTCCTCTATCAAAACTTTCAATAGACGCTTTAGTATGGTCTAAAACATTTTGGCCGCCAGTGGGTAATGGACAAAATGTTTGTTATGTAACTAGTATGAGAAATGGTGATTTAAATTTTTCACCAGCGATCATAGTAGTTGCTTTAATAGTTTTAGGTGTATTTACAATTTGGTTTCCTATCGCTTTGAAAAGATTGGTAGATAAAAATTATCCCAAGATCGATGGATTTAATGAAGCCGGTGAAAAGATTACTGATGAAATTAAAGAATATTCTAAAAGATTGGAAGATGACCCTTGTCCTTATAATTTCTTGTATAATGGTGAGTAAAAACTGAATATATATATATATATATTTTTAAAACGAATTTATTTAAATTATTTAAATTACTAAAATTATTAACAAATTGTATATAATTATTAATCATAGGATATAGTGAAAAATGGGCAGCTTATAAAACATTTATAATGGCCAATAAATTTCTCAGCATCTTATTAATTTCTACAATTTCTGAAGATAACTGCATATTCCGTTATGCACAAGAAACTACTAGCATTTCATTAATTCGTCAATCAATACAAATTTTTTTAATGCTCTTACTTTTATTCATACATTGGAGAAGTGAACCATTCCTCCATCCTTCACAGAACATTAGTGAATATTGGTCTCGATCAGGTTATGTGATTGCAGCTATTTTAGGAATGTTTGTAGTATTAAAAATTGGAGATTATAATATAGTTTCTATAATTCTAGTGATTATTAATTTATTTATTGGACTTTTGGTGGTTTGGCATTTATTTAAACAAACAAATGGATATAAAAGATTTGTTAAAAATATGAAAAAACGATTAGATTTTAGTCTTAATATATATTCACCAAAATTAGATTTTTCTAAGCATATTAAACGTCGAGTATGGCAAGAAACTTGGACCTCATTAATTTTAACATCTGATCAACTTAAAATTCCACCTGGAAAAGTTATAGCTTATTCACAATCATCTCATCGACCTCCATATTTATTAAATTTTTCAGGAAGTGTTGCAGAACGACATGTAGAAAATTTAAAGATTATGAAACAAATTGGGATAAAAAAATATACAACTTCTTTGGCTCCTTTACCTATTTCTTTAGAAAAATTAAGGTTAAAAATAGTAAATAATTTTGTTGGACCTGATATGTATTACGCACCAGAATTTTTAAATATCAAGATAAAAACACATTTTGGTAAAGCATATGTAGTACCATTTCCATTTAGCATAGTAATGTGTTATGATGATGATGATAGTATAGTTGTTTTAACACAAGAATGGGAAATTCGACGGTACGTAGAACAGAATGAGAATAAAGAAATTCAAAGAAGAAGGTTGGTTAGACAAATGATTAGATCTTTGGAAGGAAAAATTATTCTTGGACCTTGTTGTGCGAAAGGTGATAGAAACGAATCTGAAATTCAAGAAAAGGTATTTTCATTAATTATAATCGTTATTATTACTTTTATTATTATTATTATTATTATTACAATTATTATTATTATTATTACAATTATTATTATTATTATTACAATTGTTAATTTATCTCGTTCACAATAATTCACAATACAATAGGGATTCTTTGAAAATTCAAGATCAGAAGTTCATTATCATCGTGGCCTCCTTCAAATCAGACGTAACCAACGTTCAAAATGGCGAGGTCATAACATGAATTCAGGATTTGAAATTACCATTACTTATTCTGACAGAATTAAATCGGGTAGTACATCATCAACTCGATCTGATAGTTCAACACTTAGTGAAGGAGCACCATTTCATGAAATAACAGTTGGTCATAACATTATTGGAATCACAGCTGATTTCCAAATGACACCTCAACTTGAACGATTATTTACCGATAATTATGAAACTTTATCTAAAGGACTCGATTTAGTTCAAGCAATAATGCAACAATATAGGGATCATTATAAAGATGAAGCAGTTAAAAAGATGGAAACATTAACATATGGATTCTATATAAATGTATATGATAATCCTTCAATACCATTAGAATCATTACCAGCTTTATTAATGGCGACTGAAACCAATGAAAAAGTTCGATCAATTCCAGAAACAGAATATTCATCACTTATTTATTTATATGAAAGAATGAGAATAATAAATTTATCAAGAGTTCATCAATGGTGGTACTTATTTTGGGAAGATCTTTGGAGAAAAAATCATAAAGAGATTGAAGATTTAAAAAAATATCCTCAAGATTTTTCACCAGCTTATAGAACAAGTTTATGCTATAGACCAATGATAAGATTAGAATTAGAAGAATTTTTACAAAAACGTGGTCTTTGGAAGAATGAAGGACGTGATGGATTTTTACATTCAGGAATTTTAAATAGGATTTACTTATATTTAAATAAT